GCTGCTACAAGTCTTGACCTTTATTTTTTATTTTTTTATTTTCTTCCTGAAGTTATATCATTGTTGTTTATAGGTATCTGGTTATTTATCAGTTCCAGCTTCTAATGACGAAGATTTAACTTGTTGTCGCCTTATTACATTTACAAAGTCTTTCATCCTTTTTCTTTAAATTAACTATCTTCTGTTTGTGTATTCCAGCTGCTAATGACGAAAGTTATTATTGTCGGGGTTTCATGTTCGATTTGCATATTTGCTCCATTTATCTCTTTTCATGCATATGGATACTTCAACATATGCAAGGGTCGTTCTGCAGATGAAATGAGTCCGTGGTGCAAGGCAAGACTTCCTTTACTGTACAATTATATTCAAAGCCACTATTGGTATGTTGAACTTATAGTCTATAACATCTGTTGTTAATCTCTTTGTTTTTACTCCATATTTTATTTTGACATGTGGATAACTGGAGAACTTTGGTCGCCTTATCTTTTTTGAATATTTCATAAAGTTTACTGATGAATTTATATTAAGGTTCTTGGTTTTCCAAGTGTTCTTCAGAAAAGAAAATATAAGACAGATAATTTGAGGGGCCTTTGCTGTCTAAATCATTGTTTGTGAATCATATTTGCAGTTCATTAGCTACTGCTTTTTAATGCACTAGGTACAAAATAGTAAGTTGAGTTTTGGCCTAATTAGTGACTCCTAAATGTGCGAAGGAAAAAAATATAAAATAAAATAAAAAATCAGAGCCTTCTATTCTGATGGTTGTGCTAATTTTCATGCCAGGGGAGTGGGTTTTCTTAGATATTTTCAAGTTAAACAGTTGCCCAACTTTCTACTTGCTTCTCCAATATTATCTCTTGCTGTTTGCTCAATTCTCTACTATGTCAAGCTATGGCCTGAGGTGTTTCTCTCACTCGGCTTGCGAGTTTCACCATTATCGAAGAGGAAAGAAGGGTTAATGAGCAGTTCTAGTTCCTCTGAGAATGATACTCCTAATGCATTGCCAGGTGCTCAACATTCTTTTAAGCTACTTGAGGACATCTTTGTGCGTGTAGTCATATGTGTGGGGTGGTATATCTTGAAATCCAATCAACAGCGATACTTTCTCCCCTTTAGTAATCCATTTCGGTGCACACAAAATGCCTTTTGTTGATTAGACAGCTGCATATTATTATTTATTCATTATTAATCAATTGAATTTTGTAGTTCGTGCTGCCCAGTTCCCTAATTCTGATAATATATGGGTTTTTGAAGTGTTAAGGAAACACGAATTCAAAACTTAATTTTCTCATGAAAGTTTGCTCATGACCTTTGCCTTTGCTTCTAGTCGCCTTTTGTATATAGAAATATAACCATAATTTTTTTTTTTACCTATTTCTTTCGTTTGATTTTGGGGCACTACCATCTCACTTCAACTGTTATCCAAATCAGATGACAGGGCTCGTGGACTGAGGAAGAGAGAGAGAGCTATCAAGAGAGAAGTTTCGGTTATGAAGCCATTAAAAAGCAAAACACCAGATAACCCACCATATGATCCTGTTGTTCTTCTTCCTTTTGTTCTACACTTGAGCTTCATGGTTGCTACTGCATTTTTCGTCATGCACGTTCAGGTCAGCCCAGATTCCAAATGTGCACTTTCGTATTTACAGGAAGAGGATTTGTATAGCTTTTTACATAAGCTGCTGCATATTTTTCTATTTTGATCCTCCAGTGGAAGATAATACACTGCTTAAAGTCATTTCTTATCAATGATATAGTTTAAGCATGCTTTAGATTAGTGAATCATTATGTCCAATCAAATAAAAAAATTTATTTATCGGTTGTGGTTGACAGGTGGCGACTCGTTTTTTATCAGCTAGCCCAGTTCTGTACTGGTATGCCTCCCTCATTATGGGATCTCCTACTGTCGGGAGAAGGTGGGGTCGCCTCATATGTGCGTATTGCACGGCTTACATTTTGCTCGGGAGTTTGCTTTTCTCCAACTTTTACCCTTTTACCTGAGGTGGTGGAGGATTTTCATGGTTGGCCGATCGAAAATTGTTATGCCTCCACTTTTAAACTGCCTCTTGGAGATATTGTTAACTTGTCCCGATTTAGAGAAGATTGTATGATATGATGAAGCAGAGAGTTTTGATAGCTTGGTTTGGTTATGAGCTATGTTATGTAGTAGCTAATAGTGTAGTTTGAAGTGGATATCTGTCTGCTGATTAGTATTTTTGATACTGTATGCTTTTTTTTGAACTTTTTTTTTTTTCAACTGGGAGGTATCCCCACGTTCATCCAGTGTACAAATTTTTTTAAAAAAATCTAATTATTTTTAACCAATCATTTTTAAAAAATAAAATTTAACCAAACTTTAACTCAAACTCAATATCCTCAATATAATTAAATAATATTACTTCAAATATTTTTTATACAATTTTAATTCATTATTCATCCACTCACGCAATTATAACAAATTATCATTTCACATCATTTCTCTTCTACTTTTACATAAAATTAACTTTACTTATTATAAATATTATTTTAATATAAAATTAAAATTCCACTAACAACTAATCATACTATTTTTCAAAATTAACCATAGCAAACCAAAAAATCTAAACAAATCAAAGCATCTTATATCCAACCATAATTTGAACCCATTGGTAATAGGACTCGATCAAAACTCCAAAAATCAACCCAAATAAAATTTTCACTTCGATTTTTATATGTCTGTTTCGGTTATCTTTTTTTACTTTTAAAGTTTCGGTTATTTTGGTTCGTTTTCTGTTTAATTTTTAAAATAATTGAAATAACCGAACAAATACAACATTAAATAAAATATTAAATATATTTTATATTATAAATTACAATTTAATTCGGTTAATTCAACTGAATAAATCAATTATTTTGGTTCGGTTTAGTTCAGTTTTAGTTCGGTTTGGAACAAAAGTTCGGTCGGCTCGGTTTTTTCAAAAGTTTGACTCTGTTATTTTGATTTTGACATTTCAATCAGTCAGTTCAACTGAACCGATAGATGAACAATCCTTAATAGGGGCGGTATTCTTTTTTACTAAAAAGTAAAAACCATAAGAAAATAAATCAAAACTCACTAATTTGTCACATAAGTTACGAAAATAACTGATTCAGTGTGGGTACGACTAGGGCTGACATTTTTATTACCGAAAATCGAACCGTATCGACTCATTTGTAACAGTAGCCGATAGTCGGTAACCGACTTGTTATCAATTCGGTATCAGTTTCGAATCTGTAAGTGTTCGGTTAATACTGAACCGAACCGATTAGGATATTAAAAAAAAAAAAAATTAGAAGCAAGCCGGCTGGCCCAGCCTAGTTCACTCCACTAAGATAAGGGCTCTAATTATTTAGCCCACGCAACAATGAGCTTCAAAGCCCAAAATAAGCTCCAGTCTATTGATCTATTAAGATGACAGGTTAGAGCCGGCTCTCTCTCACTTCGTCTTCACTCCTCAGCCC